TTTGCCGTCTGAAATCGTACGTTTGGTTTGAAGGCGAAAAATTTTAAAAAGCCCAATTTCTCTTACCATTCCTAATTCTAACACAAACCCACAGCATTCTGCGTAGAAGCAGCAATGAAAGCTGCTGCTCTCTGTATGTACGTTTTCCGTTGTCTCCTTTCGTGTTCATACGTAAATTGCGCAAGCTTATTTAGCAAAATAAGATTGAAAGTTCAGAAAAGCCCATACATACACCTGCCCATAGACTCCCCCCTCAAAGAAAGTGGTCAAAAGTGGACAAAAGAGATGGATTAAAACAGCAAGTGTAAACGGCAATGCGACAAAGCAAAACAGAACATCCACAATGGAAAAGATGCTTGTTCTGGCAAATATTAATCGAGTAATCAATAGCACTGAACAACAATTTTAGGCAAAAACATAATTCAGTATAGAGTTTCATAAAGCGACACCCCACATTTGCACATGTCTCTAGCATGGAAAGATTCCACAACGCAAGAAAAGTGAGACCTTCAGACAAGTTACATAATGAGAGCACCACCATTATGTGAGGAAGGGTAGATGTGATCCGATATGGGAGAATACTGAATAAACTGCTTGGAGGCGAGCTAAGGACCCTCAAGAGCGTTTGTAAAGTGAGATGAGAAGCTTCAGTGTTCACTGTCAGAACTTCAGGCCCTGCAACTACAGTTTACGTAGAGGGAATTATTCTTTGGGGGGCATAGATCAAAGACAGGAATGCCAATTCGACAGTAGAGAATGAGTGAGAAAACGTTGGGAAATGGAACCGTTACAATAGAGCATTGAGAAAAGAATACGGCATCCTCAGGGTGCAATTCCACCATGGTTAGGGTTAACATGGCGGTAAATTATCTTTTCACATCAACCATCCAGAAAGTGTAAGAAGCAAGAACCAAGATGCTTACTTTTCCCACTGTGGCCTCTCATCTTTCGGGCAAGCTCATCTGACGGTGTCAGTTCTGACACTAGCACCTCGGGTTCACCTTGAGGGAAAGAGAAATACCGTCAAAAGACATTCAAACATCATCGTGCCCTACTGACACTCTTAATCCGCCATCACTTACCATCAGGGTTGCAACAAACGATTATTTTGATAATCGATTAATCTAACGATTATTAGACCGGTTAATCGACTAATCGTCGATTATTTCACAGATTAATCAGTAGACTTTGATTGATAATTCAGCTTTTGCAATTAGTTATAATACTGAGTTATACATATTCTAACAAATAAATAAAGGTAATCACTTCAGCTTTTGAAAATCATATTATGTAATTACAATTATTATACGATTAAATATATTTGGCACACAAAATGAGATGACAGAGAAACTCTTTAATTCACCATTTAATTAGCTATATGAAAATATATATATGTATAAAACATAATTCTGCCTAACATCTCCTTTTGTAAGTCATATGAACAAGAAACAAAATAAAGGTAAGTGATAAGACGTTTTATTTTTGGATAAACTATTTTATTCACAAATTAATCTATCTTAAAATACCTTATAGGGTTATGATAATCAAAACAGTCATGATTTAGATCAAGCTTTGATCTAAATCATAAATAAATAATAAATTTTGCAAGCCAAACTATCACTTTAATGAAATAATATTTCCCCCCCACTAATAAAAAAGATTTTATCATTAGCTAGCTCCACACTGGAGAGCTGCTTTATAACAGAAAATCAAGTTGTAATTCTAACTAAAAGCGACACTGACTCTGGTTTTTCATGTTTAATGCTGTAAAGCTGCTTGATTTAAGGCTATCTATTGCATAAAGTACTATATAAATAAACGTAACGTGACTGGACTTTACTGGAGTACCGAACTGCAAACATCCACATCGCTGTAATCAGATGCTTTCTTAACTGCTGCTTTCCCACCACGGTCAGTTTTGTCGTGTTTATTTCGTTATTGATAGGAAAGCACGCAGCATATATTTTCATATTCATCCAAACACTGCTCAGCAGCTTCAGGTTCGGCTGCGTTTGCTCTTCTTCTCTTGAATTGCATCCAAGAAGGCTGACAGTCTTGCACTACAGCGCCGCACTGGTCAAACCGCATTATTGCAGGCTCTTACATTATTAGGTCATATGAGATCAAACGACTACCCGACAACAAAAATATGTCGACAATTTTTTATTGTCGATAATGTCGACTAATCGTTTCAGCCCTACTTACCATCACTAAAGGTGAAGGTCATGGTCTCGTTCCCACTGTCGGGCAGCGTTCCATCCCTCCTCACGTTAGTATGCTGCATTGCATCATGCGATTTATAGTCTTTGCTTTTGTAACCTTTCGAGGATTTGTTGCGGGTGCTGATGCGTATGACGCCGTGCACCAGCCGACACTCCGCTTCTTGCTCCTCCAAGTTGTAGTCCTGAGCAATGCTGTTGATCAGATCGCTGATCTCGTTGGTTTTCTGGGAGAAGGACACGTCGGATGTGCATTTGGCTAGCTGCTCGATCTGGTGCATTTTATAAAGTTCTAGAAGCTTTTTAGTGATTAGCGAGTCGATATCAGTGCCGCCGTCATCCAGGTCGTCTAGATCCAAATCCTCCCTCGAGTAGATACTGGTGTTACTGATGGGACGCTGGTTGTTGTCGCCCTTTCCAGCCGTTCTGGTCCGTCTTGGAGGCGCCTCGGAGTTTGCAGGGTACTCCACTTTCTTGCCAGCAAAATAAACGTCGCCGTACCTGAAGCTTCCAGAGCTTAGCAACTGCTTCTGTTTGCTCGGTTCGAGGCTTACGCCGCATGTGGGATTGGACAGAGCCAATCCATTAGGCTTCCTCGGTTCCGGCTCGGCTTTTAAAGGGTTGTCAGTGGAGCTTTCGTTGGCTGGCAAGCAAGGTTTGCGAGACCCATAAAGCCCACAAGTCAGAATGCAGCAAAGCAGAGCTTTGCAACCACTCCAGCCAAGAGAGGCGCATGAGCCGCAGGCTTGCGTACCTTGAGGAGAGTCGGCGGAGCCTGGGATAAAGCCCAGGGTTTCTGAGCCTCGTCCATTGGCGTAGAGAGGATGGGTTTTACGGGGGAACTGCGAGTCTATGCTACGAGGTTGCTCGCTGTAGTTCTCCTTGAAGGTCTCCTGACTGGTGCTGCTGTCCTTGGAGTAAGTGCGGCTCTGCCTGTAGCCATCGGCCCTAGAGCGGCTTGAGCTATGAGGACGCGTCTTGTGATGTGATCCTGTGCTGTGGCCAGGCATAACTCACCACATTCAGGACCTGCAGGAACATAGGACGGACGTTAATGCATCAAGAGCTGAGACAAAGCATTGCTTCTTAGGCTTGTTTCATGAGTCAATATGTGGACCACAAAACCAGTCATAAGGGTCAATTTTTTGAAATTGAGATTTATACATAATCTGAGAGCTGAATAAATAATCTTTCCATTGATGTATGGTTTGTTAGGATAGGACAATATTTGGCCGAGATACAACTACACTAGTCAACATTTGAAGTGGATCGAAACCTTTCATCAAAGTTGTCCTAAAAGCGTTCTTGTCTTAGTACAACTTTGATTAACTTTTTTGATCCACTTCAAATGTTGACTACTGTATTTGAAAATCTGGAATCTGAGGGTGCAAAAATTTTTTTTTGCCTTTTCTTCTTAGCAAGACGTTCTTAGCAATGCATATTACTAATCAAAAATTAAGTTTTGATATATTTACGGTAGGACATTTACAAAATATCTTCATGGAACATGATCTTTACTTAATATCCTAATGATTTTTGGCATAAAAGAAAAATGTATAATTTTGACCCATACAATGTATTTTTGGCTATTGTGTATTTGAAAATCTGGAATCTGAGGGTGCAAAATATTTTTTTTTGCCTTTTCTTCTTAGCAAGACGTTCTTAGCAATGCATATTACTAATAAAAAATTAAGTTTTGATATATTTACGGTAGGACATTTACAAAATATCTTCATGGAACATGATCTTTACTTAATATCCTAATGATTTTTGGCATAAAAGAAAAATGGATAATTGTGACCCATACAATGTATTTTTGGCTATTGCTACAAATATACCCCAGCGACTTAACACTGCTTTTGTGCTCCAGGGTGACATACAGTATTAACAGGTTGCAGCGTTCAAACTGCATGCATAAACAAAGCAGCACTATCGTGCCTGCATGTAGAGATGTGCTGAGCCTATTTTTGCAGAACGTTGCATGCATGATTAAAATACAGCATTATTTGCAATTTAGGCTTTTTTGGAGCAACATGAAATGACAATTAAAAAAAAGACTGCTTTTAAGCAGCTTATGAGCACACTTTTAGATTTCACCATTTAATTGTAATGTAGATGTAGTCTTCTAATGTAGTTTGTAATTCTCAATCAGGTTCTCCTAACCATTTTATCATTTATGGCATAGGTATTAAAGTACATACACTGCCGTTTGGGATAAGTATGATGTCATCAAGGCTGTATTTATTTGATTAAAAATACAGAAAAAACAATAATATTGTGAAATATTATTGCAGTTCCTAATATTGGTGTCCTATTGTAATATACTTTAAAATAGAATTTATTTTTGTGATGCTGCGCTGAATTTTCAAGCATCATTACTCCAGTCTTCAGATCCTTCAGAAATCATTCTAATATGCTGATTTATGATCAGTGTTGAAACTGTTGTGCTGCTTGATGTATTTTTGGAACTTTCAAGAAAGCCAAGTTCCAGAAACTGAGCCAAAAAAATGAATTATAAACAGTGAGTGCTGTGAAATATTATTGCAATTCCTAATATTGGTGTCCTATTGTAATATACTTTAAAATATAATTTATTTTTGTGATGCTGCGCTGAATTTTCAGCATCATTACTCCAGTCTTCAGATCCTTCAGAAATCATTCTAATATGCTGATTTATGATCAGTGTTGAAACTGTTGTGCTGCTTGATGTATTTTTGGAACTTTCAAGAAAGCCAAGTTCCAGAAACTGAGCCAAAAAAATGAATTATAAACAGTGAGTGCTAAGAAAACTGATCAAAGTTTTTAGTGAATATACAACCTCAAAGTGTTAGATTTCTCATTTCTCTGATTTTAAATTTCTCATTTATTGCACAATGACTTCCTCAAGCCTGGAGATATAACAAAAATACAACTCAACCGTGCAATGATGATGGAGAAATCAAATAATCAAATTAATTTACAAAATGAATTCATCATCAACATTGCATCAGTATACCACTGACCATATTTTGCCCGGCTGGGTCAAAATACCACACCACATAGTGGACACCTTCATTCTGTGTCTACATGTGTTGTGCTTCTAAAGGCATTTCAAGCATGTCAACAGCGAGCTGATCTGTATCTAGATAGCATAGAAGGGTTATTTATGCAAGCATGATTTGGAGCAATCATATCAGGATTTTAATATTTCACATGAAAAATATAAGCTGCATCTTCTTACACTCTTATAAATAAAGGTTTCAAAAGCGGGGTTTCGCAGGCATGCCATAGAAGAACCACTTTGGGTTCTCCAAAGAACCTTTTCCACTGTAAAGAACCTTTTGTGCATTGGAAGGGTTTTTCATGGAACCAAATATGCCAATTAAGACCCTTTGTTTTTAAGAGTTTAGCATGTTTAAATTTAGTAAAGAGGGTTTTCTTTGGTGGGCAGGAATTACTCGATCATCAAGTTATTTTTAAATACACTCCCTTGTGACTTCACCTTTCATACAGTCAGCGTTTGACTCAAGGATTGCGTACTTTGTCTAGAATCATGCGTTTTCGATGAATCCCGTCACATGCCATCCAAACTGTGAATGCTTGATATAGATATAGATAAGTATTGTCAGTTGCCATCAACCTTAGACAGACGGTTTGAGGAAACTCTTGTGAATAATAATGTACAAAGTGGAAGGGAAAGAAAAACCCAGAATACATTGTCACAGAAAGGACTGGTTAATAATTTCAGTATACACAGAGTTAAGTCAGACCTATAGGGCAGGCCTGTAAAGTGCGCTCCGGCCAGTCCCAAAAACTTTATTTGGACTTTTTAGCATTTTATGCATTGCACGTATTGGCAAAATGCAGTTTATATGTCCAAACAACATGAAATGCTTCATTAGTCTTTTTTTTAACAGCCTCAAACTGTTCTCATCTGTATGCAAACAATATTTACAGACTTCACAGAAATATGTATGCCTATAATCCTTTGGAAAGTCCCATTACTTCCAATGCAAGCGGCCAAACGAGCACGCATCCACTAGGATCCATTGATCGAGAGCTTTCTAGCGAGTCGTTCTCGGAGCAGATGGTTTGTCAAGGTGTCAGAAGGTGCCACTTACCGCATAGGCTCGGATGAAATCTTCAGTTGTTTAGAGCGCAACTTCTAGCGTTCAAGATCGCGGAAGTAGCCCGAGTGTGAAATATGTTCCTTCTGACGCGTTATAACCTCTACTTCATCGATCTTAGCTTTGATTCACTGACTGAAAACGGGTCAAACGTGTGGATTTCGTCGCGCAGCACGCGCTTTCAGATTCGGTTCATACTAATAAAGCTTGGATCGGCGAGATTGGTTCCTTCGCCCCGCCGTGCCGTACTTTACCTGCGGCTACAGGTAAATCCACCGCCCACCTCATACTAATAAAGCTTGGATCGGCGAGATTGGTTCCTTCGCCCCGCCCCGCCGTACTTTACCTGCGGCTACAGGTAAATCCACCGCCCACTTGCAGGTAAGCAGTGACGTCACTCCCTCGAAACGGATGTGTTGCTTAAACCTCCTAAATGCCTTTTGTTCGTTTACTATTTTCCTTTAAATCAAATAAAACGTGAAAATATTATTGTCAGTGTATACAAAAAAAAATCACTTTATGGTGTTACAGGCATTGGTTATGTCTACAAATAAAATATGAGTTATTTCTCATGCACCATACTCAAAAAACAATTTTAACAGGTTTACTTTTTTAAGAGGTTCTCTTGGTCTAACATCAGTTATTCTCGATGTGCAATGCAGCGGTTAAGAATATCTAGATTTTTTTAGGAAATGAGCACATTTCCATATGGATCCAATGTCAACAATATTAGCATCTGAGATGGACAACATCTTCAGGGTTGAAAAAGTATATATAATGTGCAAAAAAAAAAAAGTTTTGGAGGATGTAAGTTTCCTGCATATATATATATATATATTCCTTGCACCCACTCTCTACTTTTTGCTCTCTTTCTTTTACTTCTTTATTTCTTTACTCTTTCTTCTCACTGCATTCTTCTTATATCTTCTACTTTTTCTTCTGATATTCACTACTCCGTCCCTCAGATATAATACTTTGAAATACTCGGCACTTTAGTATAAATTATTGCATAAGATAGATCTTCATTTGGTTGAAACTTTATTCTTTTATTGTATTAATATTTATTTAATAAATTTGTTATTCCTTCTTCTAAAATTGATCTCTGACATAATTGTTACTCGTCTGTCTGGATCTCACACTGCATCATCTTATCAAATGAATGAGTTGAAAGGTAATGGAAAAAAGCAGTAGGAAGGAACCCCAAACAGAACATTTTATGTACGTTTCTGAAGCAATTTTGGTGAAATTATGCATACTGAATGATGCAAACGTCATTCGTACACTACAGATTTACTTGCACTGCTTCACATAGAAATAGAAGCATTTTAGATTTCCTTTAAGTGGACTAGGTTTGTTATGCTACATAACTGTATTTAATATATAGTTATAGTAGTGCTCAACACTGATTTCTGTCAGACGTTCAAAATCATTCATCACTTTAATTAAGATTCTAATAATTGAATTTAAAGCACAGCCACCATAAATCAGACTTTAGCACCTCGATTTACTTTGAGATCACTCTGAGGTTAAAAACAGATTTTAAATTATAACAAGAAACCATTTAATAGCTATGATACTGTTTTTTAAATCTTTGCATACAGGAAACAGGATATCTAACGATGCCTTTTGGAAAAAACTGTTAATCTTAAAAAAATAAAGCATATACATCAACCCAAATAGGAAATAAAACAGTTATCGAATAAGCATGTGTTCTATTCTGTGTCCATCTGTATCTGTGTGAAAATATTCAGATGTAACCCCTTTGTAATCGTTAACATTTTCATAAGTAACTGTAATTTAACTACACATTATTTTCTCAGTAACTGTAACAGATTACAGTTACATTTATATTGTAATTAAGTTCCGTAAATCCGTTACATGTAACTAGTTACTCCCCAACACTGATGCTAACACACATACAATTTAATTGTAAAATCCACCAATGCAAGATGAGTCAACACAAAAAAACAAAATGTGCTTAAATTAAACTTTTTGACACAAGATTTACCGCAAAAAGAAATGTTGATTATCAGCCGGTTTTCATGAGCTCACAATATCAGTCTGTTGTTGTCTCGCCAAATTCTCTAGAGGTTATAAAAAGACTTGAAAACGCACTGAATGACTTCTCATGTGTATCTAACCCTATTTGACTGAATTATGGTCTCCATTATATTTCATAACCTATTCACCAGATTGAAATGCTCCTCTCCATCACATTATTTGGTGCGGCCCACAGCGTTCGCTGCTACAGATTGTGTCCTCGATATTTGGCCACGGTTGAGGAAAGAAGAGAAATGAAGGGGTGTATTGGGGGAAAATGGGGCACAATGAAGGATTTGGGGTGTAATGTTCCCTGCGAGCACATAGCGAATCTCTCTGTGTGCATGTGTGCTTTCTAGAGAATTCTTGGAACTAATGACTGCAATTGATCAAGACCAGACAGCCTATATTAATCTGTGTCTCCGCTTTTGGCAAAGCAGAATATTACAGCATGTTTGAAAAACCACCTTTGGCGCGCGCGCGTGTGTGTGTGTGTGTGTGTGAGAGTGTGCGCGCGCGCGTGTGTGTGTGTGTGTGTGTGAGAGTGTGCGCGCGCGCGTGTGTGTGTGTGTGTGTGTGAGAGTGTGCGCGCGCGCGTGTGTGTGTGTGTGTGTGTGAGAGTGTGCGCGCGCGCGTGTGTGTGTGTGTGTGTGTGAGAGTGTGCGCGCGCGCGTGTGTGTGTGTGTGTGTGTGAGAGTGTGCGCGCGCGCGTGTGTGTGTGTGTGTGTGTGAGAGTGTGCGCGCGCGCGTGTGTGTGTGTGTGTGTGTGAGAGTGTGCGCGCGCGCGTGTGTGTGTGTGTGTGTGTGAGAGTGTGCGCGCGCGCGTGTGTGTGTGTGTGTGTGTGAGAGTGTGCGCGCGCGCGTGTGTGTGTGTGTGTGTGTGAGAGTGTGCGCGCGCGCGTGTGTGTGTGTGTGTGTGTGAGAGTGTGCGCGCGCGCGTGTGTGTGTGTGTGTGTGTGAGAGTGTGCGCGCGCGCGTGTGTGTGTGTGTGTGTGTGAGAGTGTGCGCGCGCGCGTGTGTGTGTGTGTGTGTGTGAGAGTGTGCGCGCGCGCGTGTGTGTGTGTGTGTGTGTGAGAGTGTGCGCGCGCGCGTGTGTGTGTGTGTGTGTGTGAGAGTGTGTGTGTGTGTGTGTGTGTGTGTGTGCATGGTTCAAAATTATTAACAGCTGAAAACATTTGTAACAAAATTTAGAAAAGTAATCAAAAATGATTAAATGTAATCAGTTACATTAATAAAGTAACTGAAACAGTTACACTACGTATTACATTTTAAACAGCGTAACTTTTCCAAAGTCGCTGATTAGCAAATATCATGCATTTATTGGCATTGCATCAGTTATCAGTCAAACATGTTTCTAATTAATGATATCTGCCAACCACTAATGATTTTCCGTCTATTTAGAAACCGTCAAGCACACCACTTTGCTACAAACGGAACATATCTACAAACATTTCTACAGAAATGGGTTCATCGTGTAGTTATAGTGTCACGTCGGATGGGATCTGTGTGATACGGGCATCAGTAGAGATGTGCGCCAAACGCGGATCCATTCGAGGCCGACTCTGCTGCTGAGCGTGCGAAACGCGACCCAGTCGTGGATCGGAGTCGATCTCGTAACGGTAATGATACCCCTCCAGCACATCTCGACAGGCTTCATATATGTCTGTGATCCACTTCTTAATACCCTTTCGATTGAGGTAGACGACAAAGAGGAAGACCATGCCTACGAATCCCAACACTAATCCAAGGAAAACATAGGATGTTTGTAGGGACAAGTCGGTAATCTCTTCGCGAACATTACCGTAACACCCCAACCCCTGTGCGCTAATACCCCATAAAGATGCGCCACGAAGAGAAGCGGGGAATTCGCAATACAGCTCGTCCACATCGTCCACCCTGACTTTCGAACTGTTTAGAAGGTTTGCGAACTCTTGCGCTTCGCAAGTGCATGCATACGGATTCTGACCCAAAAGTAAACGCACGCGGCCGAGTCGCTCCAGCTCGCGCAGACCCTCGTCGCTGATCGTTCTGAAGGCGTTTCCAGTCAAGTCCAGCTCTAGAAGTTGCTCGACGCCAGAGAACGTGCCGTTGTAGATGGCCACCAGAGAGTTGTTGCGCAGATGCAGATGCTGCAGGTTCGGCAGAGGAGCGAACATCCCCGGGGGTAAGAGGACGAGGCGGTTGCCCGATAGATCGAGGCGAAGCAGGTTTGTAAGCTCTCCCCAGCGCAGGGCGGCGATGAGGTCCGTCAGAGATGAGTAGTTATAGAGCGACGAGCGCAGGCTGAGCTCCTGCAGCGGGCTGCCAGGCACGGAGAACGCCTCGGGGTGGATCAGAACCAGCTGGTTGTTGTTCAGGATTAGAGAACGCAGCGTGAGCAGAGAGGAGAACGCGTGCGAGCCGATCTCTATTATGCTGAGAGAATAGAGAGAGTTTGAGGATTTCAGCAAGAGCACATGACTAAATCTGTATTAGTGTTAGAAGAGTAAAAATACAGACTATAATGGTGGATAGATAGATAGACATTCAGAGATGGATGGATGGATAGAGAGAGACTGATATATAGACATACAGATAGACAGATGGATAGATATATAGATAAATGATAGACAGATGGATAGATAGATAAACGATAGGTAAACAGACAGATGGATAGACAGACAGATAGATAGATAGATAGACATACATTCAGAGATGGATGGTTAGAGAGACAGATTGATAGATGTATAGATAAATGATAGATGGATAGACAGATTTATAGACAGATGATAGATATATGTGTTAACATGTTAAAAACTGGTATTCAATGTTCACACATTCTAATTTGTTTATTTTAAGTTTAAATTGTTATAATGTTTTCTTCTATTATTTTGATCTTTTCATTGTTATTATTATATTTCTGCACTTATATTCCAAGCTTTGGCAATGTTGTATTTTTTTTACAGTCATGCCAATAAAGCAATTTTGATAGATAGATAGATAGATTTTGTATCTTCCCATGATTACTCTAGACAGTAGACTGATGGGTTTAGTTGACTAGCAGTGTGTTTCTCACCCGTTGTCGCTCAGGTTCAGGAGTGTGGCGTTCTGCGGTCCGCTGAAGGCGCTGGGATCGAGTCTGGGAATCGCGTTGCCGGTGATGATCAGGCTGCTCGCGTCGCGTGGGATCGCGGCGGGGACGCGGTGGAGCGCGGCAGACGCGCAGCGCACCGTCCGCGGAGCGTCAGAACACTCGCAGCGCGGCGGACACGACGCGACGCACGCGGAGACGCACAGCATCGCGCAGACGAGCGTCAGCGGCATCATCCTCGCGGTCCGGAGTAAGTGCACATGCTGTCTCACTAACAGATTGAGCAGAAACACCTCTGATCTCTGAGATATAAACGAGCGAGGGAGGGAGGGTGGAGCTGGATATACTCCACAACACAGCTATCCTGATCAGAGAGAGCATTTACAGAGCAGCTTGTGCTTTGTTCAGATGTAAAGTGCACTGTTGGGAAATATTAACATCACTCATCTTTCCTTTGTCATGCATTAAATCCCCAACTATACAGCACAAAAAAATTTTTTACAATCAAAACAGTTGTTGGGTTTAAAATGCTAAAGCAATTAATGTTGAAGATGAAGACAGTATTAGTTAGTGCATGGAGTTTGTAATGTGATTCTGTGTGAACTTGAGACACATCCACTAAAAATTAGCAAAATGCATTTGATTCAAACACATTCAGACGAATCAAACATCATGCAGAAAAGTATGGAAGCTTGTTTCCAGATACAAAAATTAAAAAGGTAGTCCTAATTGCGACATTTTATCTCACAATTCAGACTTTTTCCCCTCATAATTCTGAGAATATCTCACATTGTGATATCTCACAATTCTTTGTTTCTTGCACTTTTTTGTCATATCAAGTCAGAATTATGAGATAAAGTCACAATTAACTTTATTTTTAATTCCGTTGCAGAAAAAAGAAAAAAAAAAGCAGAATTGCGAGATGTAAACTCAGAATTCTGAGAAAAATTCAGGGGTTTATATCTTGCAATTCTGACTTTTTCTCAGAATTGTGTTCCTAAACTTTATTTCTCACAATGTTTTTTCAGAATTTTTCTGAAATGTCAGAATTGTGTGATGAGAAATTTACAGCTTCCTTTTTTATTTTCAATTTTGCGGCAGAAACAAAAAAGAAACAGAATTGCAAGATGTCAGAATTCTGAGACAAAGGTCAAAATTCTGAGTTTATATATCAAAGTTCTAACTTTTTCTCATAATGGTAAGTTTATATCTTGCAATTAAATTTTTTTTCTCAGAACTGCAAAAAAAAAAAAAAAAGTAGTCAAAATTACCTTTTTTATTTTTTATTCTGCTGCGGAAACAAAAAAAGCAGAATTGCGAGATGTAAGCTCAGCATATTGAGGAAAAAGTACAAATTCTGAGTTTATATCTTGCAATTCCGACTTTTTCTCAGAATTGTTTATATAAAGTTTATTTCTCACATTTTTTCCCCCAGAATTTTTCTTAAATGTCAGAATTGCGAGATGAAAAAGTTACAATTACCTTTTTTTTTTATTAAATTTTTTTTTATGGTTTTTAAATTTTTATTTTTGTGGCGAAAACAAAAAAGAAACACAATTGCAAGTTGTAAAGTCAGAATTGCGAGACAAAGGTAAAAAAATCTGAGTTTATATATCAAAAATTTTCTCAAGAATGGTGAGTTTATATCTTGCACCTCTTTTTATTTTTTAATTCTGTGGCTGAAATAAAAACAGAATTGCGTGTAAAGTCAGAATTCTGAGAGAAAAAAGCTGCACGATGTAAACTTGGAATTGTAAGAAAAAAGTCCAATTTGTGAGCTAAAAGGTCACAATCCTGTGGTGGAAATGGGCTTTAATAGTACAGTGGCACTATTGAAGAGAAAAGATCCTGCACTAACAACACTAGCAAACTCTGAGTTTCAAGGCTCAAGAAGATGGGTTGGTTTTGAGCGGGTTTAGTCACCATGGTAACTTACTACACAGCTTCCCTGCTCCAGAGCAGGTTTTATTCTGGGTTAGAGATTGCGAACCCAAACTGGACCAATCAGCTGTGAGCAAAGTGACATATATCTGATGCAATGAAGCCACTCCCCCTTTTCCTTTTGAGCTCTGCTGCAGCAGAAGTGTTTATTCCTGCCATTGATTTTAAATAATGACATTTTGCACACATCACACTTTCAGGTTCAATCACAAACTGGTTCAAACTCTGAGTTGACAGAGAATGTTTATATCGAGGCTGGATTTGTTTGAACTCTAAACCTACTCTTCATGCTACGGGCCGCAGATCTGTTGTTTTAGCATTACAACCACGATAACGTGCGTGCTTGCTTTCTTTACAATATTATACGTCACCCTGGAGCACAAAAGCAGTGTGAAGTCGCTGGGGTATATTTGTAGCAATAGCCAACAATACATTGTATGGGTCAAAATTATCCATTTTTCTTTTATGCCAAAAATCATTAGGATATTAAGTAAAGATCATGTTCCATGAAGATATTTTGTAAATTTCCTACCGTAAATATATCAGAACTTAATAATATGCATTGCTAAGAACTTCATTTGGACAACTTTAAAGGTGATTTTCTCAATATTTAGATTTTTTTGCACCCTCAGATTCCAGATTTTCAAATATTGTCCTATCCTAACAAACCATACATCAATGGAAAGATTATTTATTCAGCTTTCAGATGATGCATACATCTCAATTTCAAAAAATGTATCCTTGGTCCAGGGTCACATATTTTGTGCATGTAAGTGCATCTGAAGTGAGGACAAACATTATTGTATTTGGTCATATAATATAAATGAATGAAGACGTAAACATTAAAAAGTCAAAAGGAATGAACCTGGAATTAAGCACATTTACAGACTCCCTTTAATGTAAAACAATATACGCCTGAGAACATTCAGGATCATTTAAAACAACTGATGAAAGTTCAAAATGACGCTGAGATCATCCACGTATGTGATATGATTCTATTACAAATCTATCAAATGCAAACGCTTATGTGATGGAAAAAGTCCCTGTAATTGACTTATTTCCCAAGGTGCTGGTAGTCAGTGTCTCGTGTCATCAGATGCACAGAGGTCTCTGTATTTCAGTCCAGGTTCAGCGGCTCGTGGTGATCCTGAGGTGTGCACAGCATCTCTCTCGGAGTCATCGCAGGTTGACAGCAAGGCCGATGGTGACGACGACACCACAGATCATCAGGAAAGGCAGCCAGGTCTTCAGGAACCCCACAAAGCTGCAGGACACGAGAAAGAGAGGAACAGAGACCTTCGAACGAGCTGCTTTAGCATTGTGTGGAAAAAAACGCTGGCCTTTTAGAGAAGCACGTAACATTACAGGGTTAGTTTAAACAAGAATGCAAATTCTGTCATTATTTCCTCCGCTTTATGTCGTTGCAAACCCGTTTCTAAGCAGGTAAATTTAAGACTTTAAAGGAACGCAACGAGTTGTTTTAGCAGCATTTTTTCTTACCAATCTCCATTACTTTATTAATCATGTTATGGCTTGAATAGCTCTGTTTACAAATATTAGCATATAAAAAATAACTTTTATTGTACCTTCTTGATCACACCGCAAAAAAAGGCGAGTCCGTATTTTTTTTAATCTTGTTTTTAAGCGCAAATTCTCAAATCTAAAAAGAGTTTGTTTGCAAAAACAGATAACTCCGTTTTTAACAATTCTCAAAAATCATGTTTTTCCATTGTGCGTTCCAATCAATCTCAATCAATCAATAACTGCAGCCGGGTTATTTTGATTAGGTTAAAAACTAACTAACACAATAAAAACATGATTGCATAATAAAAAACATGATTTTTTAAAATTTCAAAAAACGGAGTTATCTGTCTTTGCAAATAAACTCTTCATATGTAAATATCTGCTACACTGCAAAAAAAAAATTTATTTTTAAAATAATATCTAAACGTTCTTGAATCAAGATGCATTTACTTGACAAGCAAAATGACTTGAGATATTAAGGATTTAAGGATGTTTAGGTATTAACAAAATGCATGCATTTATGTTGTGTTGTGCATGCAAAATTTAATGCAATGAATTTGAGACTTTCTGCTCTGCTGATTTAAGACCTTGTTGAAGGGCAAATGCAGACTTTTTAGGACCCACAGAAACATTGCTAAGTCAGAGCGTCATGGGTTTTAAATGACATTTTTTGCTTTAACAATTGCTTTAAAATGATGACTTTTGAGGATACTCTTACACAGAAACCCACAATCCATCTCTCTCTCCAGATAACCGTCCTGCTGTCCTCTACACCGCAGCGCTGAGAGCCCCAGCGGAAAAAACACTGACGTATAAAGGGGAAACACGATAAATCATTCAGTCGAAGGTAAGGACACGCTGACTTCTAAAAGCCGTGTGTATGTCGTGTGTATCCTTCACAGAGAAGGCAATCCCAGAATGCACTGAGCAGACGCAACAAGGGAATTCTGATTATAAATCAGGGTCTTAAAAAATCCTAATTCCACAAATCAATGGTTTAAAAGGTCTTAAATCTGAACAAAAAGTCATAAAGTCATGGCATTAAATGTTGCAAGCACTGCGGAAAATGAATATCTTCATCAGTATTTTGTTCTGTTTTCCATCGAAACATGCTAATTTAATATATGAGAAAGAAACTGAACAAAATTAAGTGAGTTTATGATTAAAACAAGAACAAATATCTGATTTCCCTTTGAGTTAAGTTGATATTTCTGACTACATTAGCAGATATCTGTTCTTGTTTTAATTATAAATTCACTTTTTTATCAATTTGTCATGAAACACGACTTAACATCTCGTCATTTTGCTTCTGAAGTAAACAATCAGAAATACTGAGGATAAATCACTTTTTTGCCGTGTGATCAGAAACTGCAGTAAACGTTGTTTGCACTGCTTCTAACAGTTGAATGGATTAAAAAGTCGTGGAGATCTGTTGGAAATTGTATTTTATCATTTTGAAGCGCTGCAAATACAAGACATTTACATTTAGGGACCATTTTGATTTATTGTGCCCCCTTTAATTTATTCCTTCAATTTTCTTCACTTGGTTTTAAAACGTTTTAAATTTACCTTCATAAAACCTCATAAATATGCTTAGAATTCATTGCATTTCCTTAAAAACACTTACATGCGCAACAAGTTTTTATGTATATTCGAGCATCCGAAGTTAACATCAAACTATAAAAATCATTTGTGAGTGTCCCACTAATTTGCACGATGCAATAGTTTTGAATTAAATCAATCATCACGAGGGTTATAATCTCATCAGCACCACACTGTTTTAGATGTTATAGCGCGAAACTTCACTTTCTAGAAGCGCCAGTCACTTATTTTTGTCAAGGAGAAATAAGAATTAGACCTAAAACAAATTGTAAGGCAAAACAACTATAATGCATTCTTTTACCGTTATATCAATTAAAGTTGCTACATTTTTCTTCCTTATTGTGACATACATCCGACTGCAACAATTTAACAGAAAAGAATAAACGTAGGGCGGGACTTGGTTCTGTGCATCGGTTGTTGATTGGATGTTGTGATATGGGGGCGTGGCTTTCAAAAGTGTATGCAGATGAGCGCAAGCTTGCAGGGGTGGAGCTTAAGTCTTGCATACGTCACTAGTTATGCAGTTATGACATTATAATCACGTCACAAGGTCAAGAAATATATGTGGTGACCCTGGAGCACAAAACCAGTCATAAGGGTCAATTTTTTTAAATTGAGATTTATGCATCATCTGAACGCTGAATAAATAAGCTTTCAATTGATGTATGGTTTGTTAGGATAGGACAATATTTGAAAATCTGGAATCTAAGTTCTTAGCAATGCATATTACTAATCAAAAATTAAGTTTTGATATATTTACGGTAGGAAATTTACAAAATATCTTTTTTGACCCATACAATGTATTGTTGGCTATTGCTACAAATATACCCCAGCGACTTAAGACTGCTTTTGTGCTGCAGGGTCACATATAAAAAAGAAACACATGGATGAATCAATAACATGCATTAAAAAAAACAACAGAATTGCATTCATTTGATGCTGAAGCTCACCTGACGTGTTTGCTGTGGATAAAGGACAGCAGGCAGAGGTTGACCATGTTCCAGGAGGAGCTGTTATCGTAGCGCATGAGGTTCAGAGCCATGGCCACATGAGAGTGACAGTTATCACAACACAGATTGTGCTGCAAACACAACAGAACAGAGTCAGGTACAAGCTAGTTATACAGCTGGTATACATAACACTGAAGTTATACAGCTGCATAACATCAAGGTTTTAAACCTTGAATCAGAATCCATCCTGCTTGAGCAGTTAAAGTTCATGCAGTGTGTAACACAGCTCTAAGTGAATGAAAACATCCTGCAAAGTTTTAAATCTGAAAGTGCACCGTGTATAAAGTTATTGTCTCTCAAAAGAAAGAGTCGACTCTGAATCATTGAAACCCAATCGGACCAATCGCTGCAGATTAGCGTCACGCAAAGGAGGGGTTTGGATAAATGAATCGTTGAGCGAATCGTATAGGAGTCGTTGAGCAAGTAAGGTAAAAATAAATGCATATTATAAGACAATGAACGTGTTTTTTGACCTTGCATGCATGTCAACCTGTTGTTGGGGACTCCCAAAACCAAAATATGAACCTTTCATTACCCATAATAGGGGCACTTTAATGTGGTAGATGACAAAAGGCAGCGCAATTAGAACAATATTGTGCATTGGTATGAATAAGCCTTAAAGAGACAGTTCACTAAAAAAATTAAAGTTCTGTCATAATTTACTCATGCTGTTCCAAACCTGTATGAGTTTCTTTTTTCTGTTGAGCACAAAAGAAGATATTTGTTGGTAACCAAAAAGTTGCTGGTAGCCATTGACTTCCACAGCAACTGTTTGGTTACCGACATTCTTCAAAATATCTTATTTTGTGCTCAGCAGGTCTGGAACAACTTAAGGGTGAGTAAATGATGACAGAATTTTTTATTTTATTTTTTTTTAAGTGAACTGTCCCTATAAGGACATAGAACAAGTAAAAAATGTGCTAGTTAATTAGACAGAAAATCTAACTTTTTTTTATATATAATTTTTAAAAACATTTGAAAATGAAACAGCCTTTTAATTAACAGAGTAGAATAATGATGGCTGATAGTAAGAAATGCAAATATGAAAGAAAACCAACACAAGAACAGCTGTTACTTCTTAAAACAAGGATATAATCAAAGGAAAATTTGGAGTAGGGATAACCTCCAAAACCAAAGGTGATGCCTTTTTAAAAGGTCATTATCATCAAATATTTCTGTTTACGTTCCGAGGCAGACTGCCAGCAACAGACATTTTAGGATAGATTGTGATTAGTTTTAGTGACTTAGGAGTCCTCTTCACTGCTCCTAACGTTTCACAGATTTAGGAGCTAGTTTTAGCACTAAAACGCTTTGTGAAATACTCTTAGAGCAAAAATTTAGGACTGACACGCCCATTATTTTTAAGATTTTCTCCTAAATCTTCTCCTAGAGCTACTTTTAGCCGTAGGATATTTTGTGAATACGGGCCCTGGTTTTTGGCTTTTTCTTTTCCTATTGATGGTCTTTTTACAATCCTCATACATTATTTTAGGGGTGTTTGATATATATCGTCTGCAATAATATCGTAATTGTTGTTTAACGATGTGCGATTCGACATTATCGAGTATTTTGCAAAAACCATTCAAAACCCCTACAGAGCGCATGCATTACGTGAAGTCTAGACTAGTGCGAGTGTGCATTTAGAGTGCGTTCTTTCACTGCATGATTCAGTCTATTAAAATACATTTACAATGATCACAAAATTCAAGATATGAGGGCAGAAAATGTATATATTTATATCATTTCATATAGTTGATCAATATAACACGGAGAGTGCCGTTTTTTCTCCACATTGATTACAAATGTGATATTGATTTTTTACAACAGTTCAATAAACAAGAATTTAATTAAGAGACTTGCATTTTAGACACCATATTGCCTGTTTTTGCAACAACAAAAAAATAATTCCAAACACAGGCACAGCGCTGTTTTGCGTCTCTGAGCAACATGACGGTGATTCGTTCCTGAATGAATCACTCGTTTATTAAATGATTCAGTTCAATCACAATGACTCACTTATTAACAGTGACTTGCTGCCACCTACTGGCAGTTTTAATTTCACATTCAAAGTATCTTTTATTATTTAAATGATTTCTAATATCAGTATTCAACGTTTTATGTTTAATATAGCAAAAAAAAATTATGCATTTGTTATTGCAGGTTAAATGCATTCATGTCCTGCACTAAACATTAGTGTGTAAATGCATCTCTTCAGACGCAGCTTCTGTGTTTCCTCTGCATTGCAAAGATGAATTTGCTTGCTAACAGCCCAAATGTCTTATTATTCTAATACACTGATTAAATGTAAGAATTTGACTCGAAAGATAATGCACACTTTTAGAAAAATGGCTTTATAAAGGTAAAAATGCCCATAACAAGTAAAAATCAGTTTAAACTTATTGGAAAAAATTAATTTCTATCAGTGTGAACTGACCACAGCACAGAATATGAAGAATATCAAAAACTTTAGGAGTCAGCAAAATATCATCTAATTCCCGTTATCGATAAAATCCCAGAAAATATTGAGATATTATTTTTTGTCAATATCGCACACCCCTACTGTAGATCCTGCCTTCTTGCATGGAAGACAAACTAAAACAATAGAAAGACAAAGCAAAAACCCGGACATTTTAGGCACTTTAGTAATCCCGTCTGGGGAAAACGAGGGCATATGCTCACCCTACAAGCACACATTACAGTAGAGCTCTGACCATTCTGGTCTTGTACTCCTCGGATGCCTCATGCACGGCTAAATCCCAGGCGTTCGCTCCGCCGCCGTACACTTTTTTCTTATCCAGCTTCCAGTACCTAAAACAGCAGTCATTGAATTAGTCACACACTATTTCTACAGTATTCAGTCTCATATGCACAGGTGATATCTGTCACAAGCTATGTTTCCATCCAACTATTTTTATGCGCATTTTGGGATATCGCATAAATAAAAAAAATTGGATGGAAACACCAAATTCTAAAAATGTGCATAACAAACATATGCGCTCAACTAAGTAGGATACATTTCTTATCCGGTAAGAAAACATGCGCATAAACTACGATGTAAACACTTTTACCGAATAAATTCCTTAATGCGCATCAAAAAAGACATGTGACTTTGCGATGGAACAGCATAAAACTGGACCACCCAACGCACCGATCTCATTGCACAGTATCTAAAATGCTAATTTTGTCATTCTAAAATGCTCGAGCAAAGTCTCGTCAAAGTGCTTCGTTATAATTAACTCCCAGAACTGCGTTCCCAAACAGCAGACTCCGAAAATAAGATAACATGACCGCAATTCGTCTGCGCGCTCCGAAGCTCGTAATTTATTGTATTCAAAAATTATTACATACTGTGCCTTCTGCAGCAAATTACATTTTTCTTCATGATTTTTAGCACAAGATATTTAGGAAGTGACGATTTTGTTCTCTTCAACTGACTTGGATGGAAACGGTGCTTTATTCGCTTATTTAACGGTGCTTTATTTATTTATTGTTTTATACGATATTCCAATTTTGCACGCAAGTTTAATTCGTAACTTTGGATGGAAACATAGCTACATTCACTAGTTTTAAACTCACTTTGTTGGTTTTCCAAACGCCATGTTGTCCTCATGCGCATAAACTACGATGTAAACACTTTTACCGAATAAATTCCTTAATGCGCATCAAAAAAGACATGTGACTTTGCGATGGAACAGCATAAAACTGGACCACCCAACGCACCGATCTCATTGCACAGTATCTAAAATGCTAATTTTGTCATTCTAAAATGCTCGAGCAAAGTCTCGTCAAAGTGCTTCGTTATAATTAACTCCCAGAACTGCGTTCCCAAACAGCAGACTCCGAAAATAAGATAACATGACCGCAATTCGTCTGCGCGCTCCGAAGCTCGTAATTTATTGTATTCAAAAATTATTACATACTGTGCCTTCTGCAGCAAATTACATTTTTCTTCATGATTTTTAGCACAAGATATTTAGGAAGTGACGATTTTGTTCTCTTCAACTGACTTGGATGGAAACGGTGCTTTATTCGCTTATTTAACGGTGCTTTATTTATTTATTGTTTTATACGATATTCCAATTTTGCACGCAAGTTTAATTCGTAACTTTGGATGGAAACATAGCTACATTCACTAGTTTTAAACTCACTTTGTTGGTTTTCCAAACGCCATGTTGTCCTCCTGTGGAAAATAGAATTGAAAGTAGTAAGTGCATCAATGCATTCATGATAAAAACACAGTCAGCTCAATCATCAGATATAAACTCACTGATACGAAATAAGGCCCTGCGAAATCCCTGATCACACCGTTGGATGTGCAGATGCCCATATGACCAATGAAGGGCAGGAACCACCTGCAAACACAACAACAACAACAATAATAACAACTAGTGCTGTCAAACGATTAATCACGATTAATCGCATCCAAAATAAGTTTTTATTTACATAAAATATGTGTGCATACTATGTATATTTATGTATATATAAACACACACACATGCATGTATATATTTAAGAAAAATATGTTATGTTTATATATTAAATATATTTATATATAAAATATAAGAATATAAATATATTAGTGCTGTCAAACGATTAATCGCATCCAAAATAAAAGTTTTTGTTTACATAATATATGAGTGTATATTTATTATGTATATATAAATACAAACACATGCATGTATATATTTAAGAAAAATGTTACGTTTACATATTAAATATATTTATATATAATATAAAATATAAGAATATAAATACATAAATGTATATACATGTAAATATTTTCACTGTATGTGTGTGTATTTATATATACATAATAAATATAAAAATATAAATATTAACTATCGCATACCTTGTCAGTGTCGTGTGCTTGCTTAGCCCTTTGTTGTGATAAACAGTAAAGTGTGTTCAAGCGCTAGCAAAAAACAGTGTAAAGAAATACTCTTTGAGAGAAGCAGTCAATCATCGGAAGTTAAAAGCAGATCATAAGTGTATTTATTCCTTGTCTCATTAGTGTTTAGCGCAGTTGTCGTTGCTAGGAAACGCTTGTTTTGTTTACTGTGTGGAGATGTGCTGAAGTCGCGTTTGGTCTCGTTCTGTATCGCGTACCTTGTCAGTTTTGTGCGCTTGCTTAGCCCTTTGTTGTGATAAACAGTAAAGTGTGTCCAGCTGAATTCAATTTCTGTTTTGTCAAATGGGTATAAAAAAGGTTAGTATACCACGGCAGCCGTCGTGTGAAGACCGAAGAGTGTAAAGACCATTGACTCTACCGTGCGACTCTACTGTGCAGAGACACAGACAAGGGACATAAGTATCGCTTTTGATTCATCCTCTTTTTTACACCTTTCTTCACTTCTGTTTCAGTTTTTATGACCAACTCTTACTATGTGTTTCCAGATCCCTACTATCACTTCCACTCGCAGACCACACATCACACACTGTAGGCAGCGCAATCCTAACAACCTGCGCACTTTGCCTATGTCTACTAATACACTACTTTCTTTTTCTATTGGTCTCTGGAATTGTCAGTCTGCAGTAAACAAAGCA